GGGGCTTCCTTCAGTGTGTAATGACCCCGGAAGGGCTCAGAGCTGGTGTCTTCAAGCGAACGCTGCAGCGAGAATGTCACGGCAGCCCCGGCCTCCTGCAGCGTCCTCTGCGCTGGCTCAGCGGCGGGAGCGGCCGCAGCAAGGGGGCCACGCGGGGGGCACTGGTAGGGCGCTCGCGGGGCACAGGGTCAACCATGGGGCGGCTGGCCACGTAACGCTGTACTGTGTCACGGGACAACCTGCCAATCTGAACAAGGTCCAAAGGTATTCACGAAGGTTCTAGAGACAGACAGCCTCCAGAGAGCCGTTTTAAATTTCTTTGTAAGCAGGCTCGGTTGAGAGTCCAATAAGATCTCAACCCCGAACAGGACAGACGATGGAGAACACGGCCACAGCTGCCACGGACTGCCCGCGGGAGGTCCCCCCCATGCCTCCACCCACCACCCACAGACCGGCCAGTGAGACCTCCACCCACCTGCTGCAGGCGGGTCCGGGAAAGGTGTGCGGCTCCCCCAGGCGTCCCCCTGACGGCGTGGCCCAGTCGGGGAGCCCCAGAGAACCTCGGGCTGGTCTGAAGGCTCCCAGTGACTGAGAGCTTCCTGTCGATGGCTGGCACTGACCTGTTTCCCAGGGCACCGTGACGGGTGGTGCTGTGGGGGCTTCCGCAGGGGTCACTTCCTGGATGGAGCAGGGGGCACAGCCGGGTGTATGTGCCGCCCCCAAGTGCTCCCGGACCATCGGCGGCAGGACAGACGGTCTCTGGCCGTGGCTTCAGGACAGAGACTATAGGTCACAAAGCAGGGTCTGCCCGCACCCCCGCTGTCCCTCTTCCTTCCTGCCGGTCACTCTGACGTCAGCCGGGAGAGGCAAACCGCCTGCACTGGTGCCAGAAAGTGACAGAACTGGGCTCGGAGTACGCGTTCCCATCTGAGGGGCTCAAGGTCTTCATCGCCCTGCAGCCGACTTGAGCGCCACCTTACAAGACGACACGGGGGCCGTGTGGACCCAGGCCCTCGCGCAAGTCCTGTTCCACAGGGAAACTCCAGCTGGGCTGCAGACAGCCGGGAGCACGTGCCCTCGGAGGAAACACATCAGCTTTCACAAACAAAACGTCAAGTGAATTCACGGTTAATGACAAGGTGACCCGGCTAGAGGAGGGAGGCCCTCCGATCGCTGTGGCTCAGGGTCGCCCCGTGGCACGGCTGGTCCCTCCTCACCTGCAGGGTGGCTACTTGCTTACCCATGGGCCTGAGAGGAAACTCGGGCTCCTTCAGAAACCCTAGGGCAGCTGCTCTAGTGTTTCACTTGGGTTCACGTTACACGCACATAAAAAAGAAAACCCTCTGAAAAGAAACAACTACGTCTTTAACCGACTTGAAAATAACCTCATTTTCCGGTTGAGCTGCGTTCATTGAGAGCCAGGTGTGAAGTCTACAGGTCCCTGCTAAGACTCCCACGATGACATTTTAGGATGTTCTGCCGAAAACTGGGAAGATCCAAGGGGGAGGAGCCGCCGCAGGTCAGGGTCAGACCCGAGAGCACCCCTCCCCGTCCTAGCTGTCCCCTACTCCCATCGGCTAGGACAGCGCACTGCCCTCTGTGGTCTCTTTCCGGGCGGGAACCCCAGGGCCTGTGTGCCACCCCATTCCCACCCCCCAACACAACGGACACCAATCTCTGGGAAGGTCCACCTGCCGGGATATTTGAGAAGCTGTCTGTTCCTGATCTGGGATTACAGCCTTGGGAAAGCTCAGCCCTCCCGGAACCAGTTCAGCAATCTTGGATTAGGGAAAGCCCCGAACTTGCAAAATGCAGCTCTAACAGCCCCGGGGGCTTTGGGTGCGGCTCCCAG